AACAAAATTAATTCCGCAAATGGATGGGAAAAATTAGAGGGAACACTGTGAGTGAGGTAATATCTTTTATTGTATGAACTTCTGTTGGTGAGAGAGACGGTCCAATAAAAAGTTATTACCTCGCCCATCCTTGTCTCTCTAATATCTTGGGACTGACATAGCTACAACTACACTGCATATCTTGAGTTGGCATATTTGAGTCTACCTACATCAAAACCTTTCTTGTATCCTTTCAGCGGGTCAACCTCCTATTGAAGTCTTCATTGACAGATATGTCTGTGTAAGAAGAAGGAGATTAGCTGAACTGATGGTGGACACACAATCTGCATGTGTAAATTTAACATACATAGGTTTTTAAAGTAATAGTATATAGCCCATTATTTAAAATACAGAAAGGGCAGAGTAAGTCAATCTCTGGTTTAGTGGTATATACAAGATAGGCAGGGAGGGATATGAAAAGTGAAGGTAGAGGTTGGAGTTGGAACCTCAAAACTGTTGTTTTTGATTTATTAATCTAACATTCTATGGAGGCAGAATTACAGGATCAGATAGTCTCAGTCTTAACTAAGATTTTTGTCTAGAAATCTAAAAGTGTACCACTGGAAATCAAAGTATTAGTCACTTTATTATAATTACTTGTATCCAGGCATCTTGTGAGCTAAATGCAACAGAAAGTGTAACTGCATCACTCAAAACAGCCTACAAGAAAAGAAAGAGAGAGAGGTCACACTGATTCATGTTGAAATCTCAATAAAATTCATGAAATAAATGTTAGTTGGGCTTTGGTCATTCCACTGGCTTTGCTATAAAAATTAATTTCTTGTTGGGTAACTTGCCTGATCAAATTCTTAAACACATTTCCAGAATTGGGAGGGGGGGAATTGTTTTTGATGGAGATGGATCTGTAGATGAGTGGTCCGCATCAATCAACTTCTAGGTCTCTAGGCTATGAAAATAAATAGATAAAATACTGACACAGCTGTCTGGACTAAAGAGAAAGTGTAGACCTAAATTTCTAGGTCACATCCTAAAGTGAAAAGAGTTGTGAGCAACTAAAGGCCGGACTTCCATTTATTCCAGAGAACAATTTCTCAGTTATTGCCATAATGTCACTTAGCACTCCAAACACCAGGCTAACTGCTCCTCTCACAGAAGCCTCTTCTAAGTTGTTAAAAATACTCATTCCTGACAAAGGATGCAGAGGAACCAATGGGGAACAAAGTTGAGCTGCAGGGGTAGCTAAGGACAAACCATCCTCAGCACCACTTCAGAAACTGTAGTTAAAACATACTTGGAGCAACCTCATTTAATTGAAATAGGAGAGCACATTTTTGGCTATTAACAAATTAAGCTCCACACCACCCAGGGGAGGCAGGCAAGTGTGTAGGCCACAATACAAAGAGCCCGGTGGGGTTCCAAGTTTACTACAGCCGGTCAATATTTGTTTCCAGATTTAATAATTAAAAAAAACCCTGCATTTTATTTTTAATTGTAAAGGAAAACCGTTGCTGTTTTCTGACTAACTCTAATATTTAACATCTCTCCGCATCAAATAAACCTGATGTGTTTCTAATATGGTGATCATGAGCACATTATAAAATACCATAAATGGAAACTAGATTTTTCAAACTGACACCTTGACAAAAACAACCTAGCATTTCACAAAGTGCATTCCTTCTGGCTTGTACACCTTCACTTGTAATAAAGTTGCTGCAGGGGGGTGCTTCATTAAAGAGGCTCACATTCTCTTTTAAGCATATTAGAGAAATTTGCAGCAATGGAGCTAAACCAATGCAAACCTTTACCAGTGTAAAGTGCACTGATGCAACACTCCTATGGGGTTTTGGAAGCCCTTAGGAGTTTGAACTTTCTGGTGCTAACAGGAATGAAAAATATTACCAAAACAGCCCTACTTTTGTCACTAAAATCAGCAGCTATGACTCAGAACAGACATGCAGATCTATTTAATAAGATAGCAATTTTACATAGTCACTTTCTGGATGTAATTGTGACTTGTTAAAAAAAAAAAATCACACAGACAGTCCGTGCGCAAGGCAGGATTAGAATACAGGAGTTTCTGGCTTCCAGTCCCATGTCTATACCAATCCCTTCCCCATCTACCATAGGGGTCTTAAATCAGGTTTCCTTTGGGATTAGGGATTCAGCAACCACCATTCAGAAGAATTGCAACTAGAAGGCTGGGAAACAGCATTAAGCATTAACAAATTCCCTCTCACATCTCATTAAGCCACTTTCATGAAGAGAATTACTACAGGATTTCTGCCACCTGTGATGCGTTCTGAGGCTGGCTTGGAAAGGAGGAGCACAATTTACTCTTAATCAATCAATTCCCAAAGGAGAGATAGAGATTTATTTTAAAATTGTCAAGTCAGAATCATGAAAATAGTGAAGGTTTTCCAATGAGAAATAGAAATCTGACCAATGCCCTGATTGAAAACAAGGCTATGCGGTCTACCTTCTCACCAGAAAGGCACACGCTGCTTGTGGCATTTGCAAAAGCTCATTTGCAAAGGATTTTAGTTGTTTGAACAGAGCATCAGATCAATATGCTGGGGGGGGGGGATTATCTGTGTTCCAGTAGCACCTCGCCCCCCACCCCCAGCCCATCTGTGCTGCAGGGAAAACAGAAATGGGGTTGTTCGGTAGATATTTGAAGACTGAAATCTCTCCCTCTCCCTGAAGTAGATCTGTTTTGTTTGTTTCTGCTACTGCATCTCACAGCAAGAGCTTCACTCACAAATGTGTTTCCCTGTGAACATGGGACTGTTCAAAGCAAACATTTCTTTCTTAGCACTGAACCGTGTTGAAAGGAGGCTTAGAATTGCTTAGCTGCATGTGTGAAGAGGCTGGCATTCCTGTTAGCAAAGAGAAATAATTGAACATGGATTGCCTGTTGTGCCTGTAATCTTCAAGGTTAACCCTACGGATTCATTCATCCTTTGCATTCCTGCATTCACAGCCAGCACTTTGGGGAGCTAATTTGTACCTTTTTAATTTCATCATCCTCGGAAATTAGAAACAAAGGACTAGGAAATAAAAAAAGATTCAAGCTGACTCAGGACCATCTCCTCTTAACAGTTACTTAACTGGTGTGCCCTGTCACTTCTTCATTTAGTGTTTCCTCTTTCCTGTGTACTTTATAGAAAGGATTTGTGTCCAGACAACATTTGCCCCTGTGCTACTGCTGGGAGAGGGGCATATTTTCTGGACTGGGTTGTAGCCTGCAGTGGAATGAACCACACTGGCAATGAATTCCAAGAGAACCCAGGTGACAGCATTAAAACAAGATGAAGGCATAGAATTCCTTTGCATTGATGAGCTAAGTACAGCCATGGGGGTCTAGTGAGGTTTAGGAAAATAACCCAGAAAAACAGAATATGACATTTCCAGTGTAAGGTCCTCAAATTAGGAGCTTCTGTGCTGCACTTCATGCTGGAACAGGAACTAGAGTAGCTCTGCTAAATGAGGAACTTGCACCTGTCAACATATTGAAGAGGGAAGCAAATATATTTTAAATCTAAACACTAGTCAATTGTGTTGATCAACATTTCTAAAACAACTCCCTCTACGCACTTTATCTGCTGGGCATCTTTGTATATTGTGTGTTTCCATCTACTGATTGTAAATCACCCATGGATGTGAGCTACTAGCTAAATACAGGATACTATCATACATTGATAGGTTCATACCTTTAAGCACTGAAGTATGCTGATTTCAATCTCTTTAAAACTCCTGCACATTGCCTGCCAATCTACTTTTTCTCTTTCTCTCCCCCATTTTTCTGCCAAGGTTATTCTTTTATCTGTCAAAGATACATGATCTTTCTTCTGTTGTTTTATATCCACTTATTAAACATCCTCCTTCCTGCCAGTGGGAAATCAGAAAGCTGGATAACCTCATCCCTGTGCACTTGCCAACTCCTACTGAAAGGGAGCAAGCACTTCACGGAGTGGCTGGAATAAAGACAAAACACATCCCCTTACAAATGAGGCTCCTGAAAAGATGTTTAGCCATTATGTAAAAGATTTTCTGCTTTTAACAATGACAGGCTTGAAAAAAGAGTGGGCAACTCCAAGCAAAGTAATTCATGGGCAAGTTAAATTATAAAGGACCATGATTCATGATGTGAGTTTGCCCTCCAGGGCAAAAGAAAGAGACACAACCAGAACTGAAGAAATCAAAGACAGTGGTGTCTCTTTTATCCCAGTTTTAACAGAGCCATAGTGAAGACATTATATAATCCCCAACTCTGCATATCTCAGCAAGAAAAAGAAAATAGCAAGTGACTGCTTCTGGATGTGGGAAGGAAAAAGAAGGTAACTGTTGCTGAAAGGCAGAATTAAGATTAAGGTAATGGTACTCTGAATGCTTGCGGAGTGCATGAATTTGGGAGAAGGGAATATGTCATGTGTTGGGTCTGGGGGAAGATGTGTGCAGAATACTGGAGTATTGATTTTGGAAAGGTCTATGCATGAGTTTGGGGTGAGGGGCCATGCACTGTGCCTAAAACTGGGTAGACTGTATGAGTCTGGATGTATTGAAAGTCTCGATCTGGTGAAAGTGCATGCACTGTGTCTGTGTGCAGGTGGGGGGGGGAGTGCATGCAGGGTCAGGGTGTTAATTGGCTGTTAGAAGAATATGCAAGGTCTGTGGTGCTGCGGAGTCTCTGGGCCTAGCTGTCACCTGGAGGAGGTGCAGGCAGGATGCAGGGCTCTGGATTGGCTAGAGATGCATGGGGGGGGGGGGGGAAGGCTGACTATGGATTAGGTGGAGGTGCATGCAAGGGGCCGGTGATGCACAACTCTGGACTGGATGGAGGTCCATGGTGGGGTCGGAGTACCACAGCTTGGCTCTGGACTGGGTGCAGGTGGGCAGAGTGTGCCAGGCTCTGGAGTGCGTGGAGGTGCACGCAGGGTACGTGGCTATGGCAGGTCAGTGGGTTCCCTGACCCGACACCCGCCCCCCTTCCCCAGCGCTACCTCCTCGAAGAGCTCCAGGCTGTAGGTGTTGTCGTCGTCGGCGAAGAAGAGCACCCCGGGCTGCGGCGGCGGCAGGTGCTGGTGTCGCTGCCGGAGCCAGGCCAGGCCGGCGTTGCGCTGCTCGGTGGCGCGGGGCAGGCCGGGCCGCTTGTACCTGCGCGGGGTGGGGACGTGCAGGTGGGTGCAGGGCAGGCCGGCCCGCGCCACGAAGCGGCTCACCAGCTCGCTGCGCCGGGCCGCGTCCTCCACCAGGACCCAGTGCAGCCGCGCCACCTGGCGGAAGGTGTTGGCCAGGCGGGTGAGCTCGGCTTTCTGCACCGGGCGGCTGTAGGTGGGGGTGATGGCATAGATGGGGGGCAGCGCCGGCCGCCTGGGAGCCGCCTGCTGCGGGGGCCGGGCGGGGGGCGCGAGCGGCGCCCGGCTGCTGTCCGTCTCCAGCAGGAGGATGACGATGAGCCCCCAGGGCAGCAGCAGCAGGAAGCGGCTGAAGAGCAGGGACTTCATGGTGCCCCCACCAAGCAGGGCGCCGCCCTCACAGCACCAGCGGCCGCCGCCTGTGCTCCCCTCCCCATGGAAGCAGGGCTGCGGGCGGGCGGCTCTCAGCGCATCGGAGCCGGGCGGAAGGGGGCAGCCCCAGCGATCACAGGGGGGCCGGTCACCCCCTGCCTGGCCACGGGGGCTGGTCAGCCCGGGCGGGCGGGTCAATGCCCTGGGGACCGAGTCCGACGTTCTGCCCTGGGCAGCACGGAGAGGGTCAGTCACATGGCGCAGGGGCAGGCGCAGAGCCGGGGCAGGGGGGAGCCCAACCGGTCCCCAGGGCGTCTGTGGTTCCCCTCTTCGCCCGGCTCTTCTCGCCGCTCTACGCCGGCGGCTGCCGCCCTTCCACCGCCTCTTGCCCTCACTACATCCCTCCTCGGGCCAGCGCCGCGGCGGGGCTGCTGGACCGTCCTGTGCGAGGCGCTGGTGGTGGCTGCGAGGCGCGGGGCTCCCCCGCTGGGAGGTGGCGCGGGGAGGGAGGCTCCTCGCCGGGTGCGCGGGAGGAAAGGGGGGGCTCTCCGGGCTGGCAGGGGAGCTGGCTGGAGATGTTGGCGCGCTGGCTCCCTCCTGAAAGGCTGCGGGGTCTTTGGAGAACAGGCAGCGTCTGCTCACGTGCTTAAAACTCCAGGGAGCGGAGCATGGGGGAGGGGGGGGGGGGTCGGGTCACACCACTAACGAGCCAATGCTGTGAGTTTTAATCACCCTGGCCGCCCAGTCGCGTAAGCCAGCCGCGCGGGTTTCTGTGTTGCGGGACTGCCTGGGGCAAAGGAAACCCCCGAAGGGCCAGCGTTCCCCAGGGTAGCTTCTGGACTCTGCGTGCAGCAGGAGCTAACGCCTGGCCGGGCGGCTACATGGGAGACAGCTGTTGTTCCGCCTCGCCCGCTCAAAAGAGTAGCCCTTAAACTTCTTTTGTCTAGCAAATGTGGCAGCTCTAACACGCCCTGAAGCTCGTGGCTAGCGTGGCTGCAGCGAGACAGTGCCTGTGCCCCGGGAGACGATAACAAACGCATGGACATCCATCACCGGCCGAATCCGGCTCGTGCAGTTGACTCGTCTTCTGAAACATCCCATTCCCTGTGCAGCCGTGGTTGGGCCATAGAAAACAAAATGCCAAGCGCTCCAACGCGGGATGTTGGAGCAGGCAGTTCTCGCGGCTGAAGGCAAGGGAATGTTCGGCTTTGCAGGGCTATGTGTGAGACTGCACCACTGTATCTATTGCTGGGAAACGTGTGCCGAAGGTTAGCTGCGTGGAGGTCTTTACTGCTCACCTCCGAGTTGCCTAGACAAATTAAGTATCTACAACGCAATTGTTTTTTCAATAAAATTAATTTTTCTGACATGAGGAAAAGTTGAATAGTAGAGTGTATGTATAGTGTATGCTGCTGCCCACTTTTCTGCCATTTTTAACTGGAAGAATAATGTTCTGAGATAAGCAAAAATTAATATTTGTAAATTACTTGAAAACATTTCATACACTTACATTTCTTTTTGTTGACTTAGTTTTGTCAGCTTCTTTGTGTTTTTGTATTTTCAGCAGGACTTTACATGCTTATTTTAATCTCTGAATAACCCATACTCTCTGCTGCATAACAAAGCATTTTAAGAACAGTAGTAAAAGGCATTCTAATTCTAACCCCCTATGACTGCCCATTTTTGTACATGAATTTCATTTTCTTGCTTTTTCACCATATCTCTAAATTTGCTTCAACTTTGTAACAAACCAACCCCAGGAACTGTTTTTTCAAATCAAATATGCATGGGTATTTTATCTTGTAATCAATCATATAGCAATATTTATTTCATCTGAATATGATACAATAATCTAGTGCTACCACAAACTTCATTCCCTCATACCAAAATGAAATACATGTTCTAAACGCTACTCCTTCCTCTCCTAGGAGTGCCCAAGAAGTTTCTGTTGCATTGTTCAGCATTTCTCATTGTCATTACTAAACATTAGTTTAAAAGTTTACTTGTTCCTTTACACTTCATGTGATGCAAAATAGATAGAAAGATACACTGTTATTCATTATAATGAGAATTATACTATTTAATACATATACTGTATTACATTTATAGGCCAAATTATGGCCTCACCAGTTTAAATCTGGAATAATTGTATCTGACATCAGAATTTTGCCCATTTAGCAGAATTTAGTGGGATGATTCTGCTGTTAAAAAAAACATTCCTTATATTTTCAGACAAGCCCATTAGATGAAAGTACACATTTCTAATCTATTTTTATATATATTCTTGTTATTCAAATGGACATATTAACCCAAAGGGCTCACAAACAGAAAGGACATTAGAGTGATGTAATATAAATTGAAATCTGTGTGACAATGAGAGTAACAAATGACTATGAACTGAGCATCTAAATGAGGAAACATCTGTGCAGTCTAGTAATAATTAGAGTTAGCGTGTTTAGTGGAGAAATGGAAAGCTTGTTATGTGATTAATGAAATAATATGGAGGAATGCAGCAAGTCTAAGTAGTTCAATATATCCAGATCAAAAGCATCTCATACCTGAAATTACAGTTGCCCGTTTTGTGCTGATGCAGCTTATCTAAAGGACAATAATCTAAATAACACCTCTGTCAAATGGCTAAATATGCCATTGTTTCCCCATTTACTAAACAATGATATTTACAGATGGTGCTTACTCAGGTAATGTAACCTATGTATTAAAGCCACATCCCAATAAGATTTCTTTTTTAAAAGTTAATGGTCAATTCAGGGGAGTTCAAAGCTCATTATCTCCAAGATATTTGAGTATCAGAGCACCAAAAGCCCAGTGGGGCACAGACTAAAATTAAGGATTAGGAAGGAGTGTATTTTAATGGACATATTCTTTGTATAACAACTAGTCTTTTCTCAGGAAAAATTATCATCGTTAGTGGGAATTTTGTAGGAGTAATCAATACTGATATATAATACCTTAACAAAGGCAGCAATAGGAACAGCTGGTGTAATTGCAACAGTTTAGAAAGGAGCACAACCACTAACTCATCATCAAGGCGAGTTCTTGATGGAATATTTGATACTATTCCATCTCTGTAATTGACTATGTTCCTGGCATCTGGTAACTAAATTCAGTGCTTATGTACATCTATTCAATTTGTATTTACTGTTTCTAGCTATATACAACATATTGTAATATATTGATTGGTTTTATTGATGGGAAGTACCCAGCTGTCTGACAATGTGTGCTGATATAAATTTCTAGATAAATATATCCATACAGTGTGAACTGTATTTATATATTGTTTTGTAGGCAACACTCATTCGCCTGTTTTTACATCCGCTTTCTATGTAATTATTTTACTATGCCTATCGTTTTACCCTTAAACTGTTGCATGATGTATGTTATGACACAGCAACTGCATTTTGCCTCAGAGGTGGCTACATTTCAATGGTAGATTAAGTACACAATGTGTAATAGAAGATGCTAGTTAATGATGCAGAAGCATTTTCTTTTATATTTAAATATAGATTATTTTAGGCCAAGAGAAAAAGAGTGAGTTGTAAAGTGTTCGAAGAGTTTTGAAATTCCTCAGGTTGAAAGGCACTATATACAAATAAAATATTATTTATTAAAATTCTCTCAAATAAGCAAAGTAGAATGTTCTTGTTTTTGAAATTAGAGAGACCCACTCACATTATATAATGACTAAACATACTATTTTTGTGTGACAAGACTAGCTACAGATACATATTTTACTACAAAACACCTCAGCACTATTTATTACCAAAATTGTTACATTTGATTTTGGGCCTCAGGTGTAACTATAAAACAAAGGGCCAGACTCTAACCTGTGATGGATGGCACAAATCATTACGTGACTCAGATCATTCTTATAGTTGCACACAAAAGCAGAGTAGTGCATATTCAGAGTTGCATGATGGCGGGTGGGCATGCATTACTCTTTAGAATCCAGAATGGTTTATTTGCAGAAAGTTATTGTGCTGAAAATATAGTATGGTGTTGCTGATCAGTGCCTTCATTCCCCAATGCAGATTTTTGTCATGGATTTGTCAGGAGGTGGTGCCAACCTTTCCATCCTAGGTAGCTCTGCACAGGATTCAGCTGCCTTGAATAAGTTAAAGCATACTGCAGGCTGTTGCAACATGCACTGCCTGGAAACAAGGAGCCATAATGACAGCCAGAGATTACAGGCCTTCTTTCCACTGATCACAATCGCTCCAACATGTGTATGGATTGGGGGAAAGACATGGTATAGGAACTGTTAGAGCTGGACCATCTGAGAATCCTCCTACACTTCCTCTAATCCTGAGGCAGCTCAGTTCTCTTTGCTTTTCTTCCACTCGGTCCCTTGGGCCACCCTTCGCTCTCGCATCAGTGTTGCTACTTCTGATGTTACCCAGCCTATCTCCAGTCTCTCCTGTCATGCCTGTCTTATTGGCAGAAAGCCTGACACTTTTACTTGCCCAAATAGCACTTCTCCCTGTCCAGGGTTATAAGCAATATGGTTTCCCCAGGCTGATAGTATATCTATCTGAAGTTATAGTTGGAGATAGGAGCATTTGAAAGAAGCAATTAAAATGGATTTTTCTGTGTGCTCTGCAATGATGGGACTATTTCACTCCTGCAGGAAACAGGAGCAAAAGCAATTAGATAAACATAAAATGTAGAATTATGTTTAACTGGTGGATAAAATACTGCAGAGAGATTGTGTCTGTTTCACATGACTGGAATTGAATAAATTAAAGTAAAGGATGCTGGTTCATAACTTTTGAATTTGTGTGACTACTTGCTCTTATCAGAGGAGGTTGGTGATATCTGAAGATGGGTAGGCAAAATTGGCATGTAAAGGCGGGTTTATGGCCATTTTACAACAGAAGGTAAAGACCAGACTTCATCTGACACAAAACATGGTATTCAAAGACTATCTTGCCTCTAATAAGGAGCCCGCACCTGATATTTATAGAAGCAGCTTTTTTCCT